AATGGGTTCCAGATGAACTGAATGAAAGACAGCAGGAAAACCGAAAAACTTCTTGCGAAATGCTGCTCGCCAGGTACAAAAGACAGTCATTTCTCCATCGAATTGTGACGCGATGAAAAATGAATATATTTTGAGAATCCTAAGCGTAAAAGATCATGGGTAACTCCAAGCGAACCATCGACATCGACTGCAAGGCCAAATCGCTATGGACGGAAGACAATGCTCTGTGTTTGGTGGGATCAGAAGAGTGCGATCTATTATGAGCTGCTAAAACCTGGCGAAACCGTTAATATTGAACGCTACCGACAACAAATGATCGATTTGAATCAAGCTTTGCGTGAAAAACGACCAGAATATCAAAAAAGGCAACACAAAGTGATTTTGCTTCATGATAATACACCATCACACACAGCAAAATTGGTCAAGGAAACGATTGAGGCGTGTAGTTGGGAAATACTTTCGCATGCGGTTTACTCACCAGACTTGGCTCCGTCCGATTACTACTTATTTGCATCGATGGGACATGCACTTGCTGAGCAGCGCTTCACTTCTTACGAAAATGTACGAAAATGGCTCGATGACTGGTTTGCCTCAAAAGAGCAACAGTTTTTTTGGTGTGGCATTCACAAATTGTCAGACAGGTGGGAAAAAATGTATAGCTAGCGATGGCAATACTTCGAATAAAATATTTTTTATCATTTTCATACAATAAACGTATATTTTCTATACAAAAATTCTGGTTTCATATTTACATACCTGGTATAAGACTGGAGCCGAAGAAGAAGATAGAAGATTGAACCGAGAACTGAGCGTCTCGATAGTTAACATATAAATCCGGGTCCGTTATTCTACACTAGTACGTAAGCGCAAGTATAAGGAGGAACGAATAAACGCTATCTTCTTTTGTACGACCGACTACTTCTATCTCAGCTGGACCAGCGAAGCTCGAGATCCCAATCCCTAAGACCACGAACGAACCCGAAACCTAAGGCCACGACAATATCTAAAATCTTACAAGTTAATATGAAATGAAATGCATGGAGTCTCTCAGATCCCATCTCACTAGTTAAAAGTTAACTGTCTCTTTCGATTTTTCTTTTTTTTACTATTTTCTTGATAATTACTTGGTAAACTTGATAATTACCTGATAAACTTGATAGTTGATAGTTGATAATTTACTTCTTTTCCTTGCTCTCTATGTGAATTATTTCCCTTTACAGATATTTATTTTGCTAGTGAGAAACTAAACGAAGCAATCAAAATGTATTGTAAGTTTTCCACAACTATAGATATCTTGTACCTAGTAAACACAAATATTAGTAACAATATCGATGCTACAATGTCAGCTCAAATATGTGGTATGTAATGTAACAATTACATTATATGTGTGTTATATAACATATAACTGTTATACAATATACTATATATTTGAGCTAATATTCTAATATTAATTATGTTACTGATACTTGCGATTTACTAAATATATTCAGTTTATTGACTTCAAATTGAGTCACACTTTCTCTCTTTGTTTTTTGTTTGCCTTATAAAGAAAAGAGCGAATCAATATCTGACTTAATTGTACACGGACTCAATAAATGGAATATATTAATAATTTTCAGCTTTAATACCTTTTGTGCCATCATAAGATATGCTTTTTTTCAAAGAATTTTTTGAACTAATATATATTGGTGCAATAAGTTAAAGTGAAATAAGTATATTTTGTTTCAGTTTAACTTATCAATATACAATAACTTAACAATACATATTATTCATGCACACGTATATGTATGTTTTATATATATATAAATATGTAACACATTGATCAATAAGTCCCGGAACTAACTACTAAAACAACATTTGTTTGCCAAAATTCTTCTTTATTCATCAACATAGTCTCCTTCAAGAGCGATACATTCATTCCAACGCTTTCCTAACTTTTCTATGCCAACCGTGTAGATCTTTGGTTTCAAAATAGGCATTAGTTTCAGCAATCACTTCTTCATTGGAGCCAAATCTCTTTCCTTGGAGCACCTTTCTTGAGGTCTGCGAACAGCCAATAATCGCTGAGGGCCAAATCTGGAGAATACGGTGGGTGCGGAAGCAATTCGAAGTTCAACTCATGCAATTTGGCCATCGTTACCATCGACTTGTGACACGGTGTAGCGTCACTAAAACCACTGTAACTCAATGACACAATGTCGGAATGTCATGAAAATTTGACACGTAAATTCTAAAGGTTGGTACTAACTGAGAATGATATGGATTTGTTATTAGAGGCGCCATTTGTTGGTTAGTCCCAGGACTTATTGATCGATGTGTTATATATATATATGTATTATATAAATTGAAATGTATATTTTAATACACAGACAGTTCTAATGACGCAACAGATATTGAATCCAAAGAAATAAATCCAGAGAAAGAAACAGACGAAAATATATCACCAAAAGGAATTGGAGATATTTCCTAAATATTTTTTTACTGATATTTATTAATTTCTACAATTGTTCATAAGATATTAATTTATGTAGCATATAAATGGCCACATGAAGCAATATTACTATTAATAGAAGAATATCGTATACGTCAGAATGATTTTCTAAGTGGAAAAATATCGCAAAAGAAAGCATAGATTTTTATAACAGAGATAATGAAGAAATATGGTTACAATGTAACTGGCCCTCAGTATTTACCGAAATTTTCCGGTTTAAAGCATACATACAAAGCTATAAAAGATCACAATAATAAATCGGGCAATGCGACGAGAACATGGCCGTATTTTTCTGTAATATATTTGTTTAATATTAATTTATTTTTCTAAAAAGATAGGAAATTTAATCTATTCTTTCTTTTTTAGCATATGGATGATTTATTGGGGAATAAACTGTTTATGTCACCTGTAACGACTGTGTCATCTACTGGTAAAAGAACATTATCAGAATCAGAGTGCAACACATCTAGCAATGAAAAACAAAAGTGCAATAAGTTATTAAATTTGATGTTATTATTTAAATTAGTTTAATTTACTGTTATATTATTTGCTTTATTTAGAGAAAAACCGACAAACATATGCTATGGAACATATAGTCGAAAAACTAACAGGAATGAGACATAAAACAGAACTTACGATGGAAAGAAGACACCAAGAAAATCTGGAGATTCGCCAACAAATATTAATATCATTTAAAGAATTGATTGATATTTTTAAGAAGCCTTAATTGTTCTTTAATATTTTTATATATTTAAGTTTGTTCGAGTTAAGAAAATTAAGTTAATGATATGGATGTTACCGACTTAAATCAGAGAGAGATACTTTATATAAGTTTAAAGAATACCAAAGTTTATATTATATTTAAGTTACAAGTTGTCCAAAATAAATCTTAATTGTTCTTTAATATTTGTATGCATTTAAGTTTGTTTGAGTTAAGGAAATTAAGTTAATGTATAATAATACGGATATTACATTTTTTAAGTTATATCTTATATATTTCGCATTATTAAGTTATTACAAATAACATCTCGTTTAAGATGGCCTGCGTTTCTATTTGCGCATTCAATCGGGTGTATGTTACAATCGTTTTCTACGACTTCCAAATCTGTGACTGTAAAATCGTCATCCCTTAAAAAACAAATATTATGCAAGACACAATATACCAAAATAAAATCTGGTATACAATTTATACGGTCCATATCAAGAACAGTAAGTAAACTGCGGAATCTTTCTTTCAATAATCCGAATGCTCGTTCGATTATTGTTCTAGCAGATGAGTGATAGAAGTTATAATTTTTTTATTTATAGGTTAGGTGACCATTATCTTGTCGGGGAGGGAATGCTGGCGCAGTTCCCTTGACTCCCCCCATCTCGGTCCGACTGGTAGACATCCCGCAGGAGTTTTAGTGAGTAAGAGTCTCACATAACCCTCTGTCCCTCCCAGGGAGCGGAGGGTACTCATGATGGGTTTCTCCTGCGTTATCAAAAAAAAAAAAAAAAGGTGTCCATTATCTCGATATGGTATCATCACATGATTATGGAGGGAATAAGCAGCGTCGGCTACTAAATGACTATAATGCAGAAACTTCTCTGGATCTTGTGTAAATTCAGATACTTTGGACCCATACAGCACAGCACCGTTGTAGCAACATTGCAGCAACGTTGTTTTGCAAGATTGCAACATTGCAGAAACGATGCAAAATGTTGCTGCAATGTTGCTGCAATCTTGCAGCAAAAGTAAAATGTCCGCTTGCAGCAATATTGCAATGAAATATTGCAGTAACATTACAGTGTAACATTGCAGCAACATTTGTAATATAATTTGTATGCAATAATGCTTTATATTGTTACGTCTCAGCTCCTACTTTTCCCCCCTTTTTCTTATTTCTTTTTTTATCTTTATCGAGCGGTACATCTTGCAATCTAAACTTCCGGTTCTCCCCTCCCTCGTTCGATATGGACTAGGATTATATTATGTTGACATTCGTAACGGCGACCTGTAATTGTGACTAGCATTTTATTTTAAGTTAATGCGTTAGCTTTAATGCCTTTTACTATTCCTTTGTATATGGAAAACCTTGTGTTAAATTTCCGACACCGGCGTGTGTTAATTTAATATATCGATTTTGGATGACACATTTTATGTGCCAGACTCAACGTATGAATTGTGTGACTCTTTTCTGTTTTCTTTCTTTTCGGCACTTCTGTTCTATGTTAATTTGACACGTCGTTTTCTACAGCGCGCGTATGCTTTATCATTGCTTACGTAGTCTCAAGAATAACAGCCCAGTTGCGCGAGGGCTTGGCTATTATTTCTTACTATTATTCCAAATTATTTTTATCCTAGCGGACAGACTATGCAGCTTCCCCATCTCTTGCTTCTTAACAATAAAAATAAGCACTAAGTGTGGGAAAGTTGTGTTATAACCGTTAACAACTTTTCTAATCGTTATCTTTATAACTCTGCAGTATAAGCATTGAGATTCTACGAATCTCGTAACTGTTTTGCGTCAGCAGCACGACCCAGCTTCGCTCTCAGGAATCTCGGATGGAAGACAAGACATATCGCGTCGTAATTCTCCACCTTGTTTCTTTCATCCGACATCTTGCTAAACTTTACATATTATCCGGTTATTAGATCAAAGCGTTAGAAATGTAGTGTAAAGAAGTAAAAACCTATTATTATAAAATTGTACTACCCCCATTTGCCACTCTCCGTTAAAATTATTAAACTTGTTGCGCCGAATTCGCCAGGAACGCTTCCTTGGCCTATCATTGTAAAGCGTCGTACCTAAATTCGCGATTGCCGCATTATTGTCCACCCGCGGTTGACTATAAAATTGTGAACGTTTTCATTCTAAGATAACCGAACTGTTTAGGCGACACTTTGGCGGAGTTCTTATCGTTGTTGCATCCGGAGATCGAGTAACTCGCGTCTTGCTCCGACACAAAGAAGAAGGACTCCTCGGCCCGTCGGCGAACCGCCCGCTTCTTCACTCTCGTTGAGGCCGTCACACGTTTCGGACGCGTGCTCACAAGTCTCTCCTTAACTATTGTACTTAGAGAATCTTCAAGTTCCATCATCTCGTGACGGTCTCTCATATTCTCGCATATCTCCTTTTTTTTCTTTCTGGTTCTTTCTCATTACAATTGTTGCAACCAAGTGTATTCGTGACTTCAACCAATTTCACGATCTTCTTAATTAATTCGTACAAGAAAAGACAGACGCGACTTTCGGAAGCCGGGAGTACGATATCACGAGCGTTCGACGTTCCGTCATCTCAGCTGGGAGGAACGCGGGCACGTACGAGGGCTCCTCCTGTTCCGTCGGACGCCTAAACAGTGACGTTCCAGCCATCCGATCACAGTAAGCCTTTCGATATCCAAGTTAATAAACAATATTTGTCTTCCTCTATGTCGTTCGATGTGTTTCGTAAACCGTGTATTGTTCTCCGTACGGGGCGCTTTCCTCATAGTCATATCCATGTTATCAAATAAATTGTATTGAATCCAATAAAATTCCAGGGGACGTAACAATATATATATACAGGGTGTCCGGAATGTGATCATTAATATTTTGTGTACTGGTAGAACTCATTAAAACAATTAAAAAAGTCCTGTGCCATTTTACAATTTTTTCAACATTTATTCCGTAATTAATTAAAATGTGTAAACGAATGAGCGCACGAGAAAGCGACAGGACGAGCTCTGTATATAAGAAGACGGCTTACCTCGCGCGGCGAGAGGCAACCGTAAGCAACAAGAGGCGTGCGCGCGTGACGAGGAGTGAGCGAGCACAAACGACGAGTGAGCGAGCGCAAGCGACAAGAGGCGGCCGCCCAACGCTCTCTACGCGCTCATTGTCTCACATGTTTCAATTAATAACTCGATAACTATTGCTAATTTGACATTATGGTACATGATTTTTCTTCTCGGCTGCACTCAATCTACCAGTACACAAAATATTAATGATCACATTCCGAACACCTTGTATACAGAGTGTCTCAGAACTTTGGGATACGGGCTCCGTAGGGATATGTAGCTAAGTGAGAAGAACAAAAAAGTCCTGTACCATAATGTGAAAATCGTAATAGTTTTTTAGTAATAACCGCGTAAAGTTTGGCGTTTTCTACGCCCATCGTGGCCTATAAACGCTCCGCGGCAAGCTGTGTGTGTAGGAGCTGAGCAATAACGCGTCTCGCGCTGACTGTCGCGATGGCGCTTTGGCGCTTTGACGCCGCGCGACGATCAGCGCAAGCCGCGTTATCGCTCAGCCTCTACGCATACAGCTTGCCGCCGAGCGTCTATAGGCCGCGCTGGGCGTGGAAAACGCCAAACTTTACGCGGTTATTACTAAAAAACTATTACGATTTTCACATTATGGTAGAGGAATTTTTTATTCCTCTCACTTATCTCTATGTCCCTACGGAGCCCGTATCCCAAAGTTCTGAGACATCCTGTATATGTATGTATATACAGGGTGTCCTATTTTAAAAGACCCACTCAAATATCTCAAAAACACTGCGTTAAATCGAAAAATGTTTCAAACAAAAGTTGCTTGGCTTGAAGGGAGATATAAGACAGTGATAGCATTTTGTTTATAGATGGCGCCACTTTTGAAATATTCACTAATCATCAATTTTCTTAAACAGAAATCCCAATCTTTTATTATATCATCTTTTTCTACCAACTAATTTGAACAACTTTTGTCTGAAACATTTTTTTATTTGCTTAATATTTTTTGAGATATTTAAGAAAAACTTGGTAATCTTTCACCATTTAACTTATGATATTTCGCTAACTATTCGTCGAAAGAGAAAATAGTATCACTTTTTTATTTTATTTACTATCAAGAACATATTACTATAATAGTGCCCTAACTTTTGTTAATTTATCGACCTTTGGAAATTTCAAAATTATAAAATTAACAAAAGTTAGGGTACTATTATAGTAATATATTCTTACTAGTAAATAAAGTAAAAAAGTCTAATGCTATTTTTTCTTTCGACAAATAGTTAGCGAGATATCGTAAGTTAAATGTTGAAAAAGTTACCAAGTTTTCCTTAAATACCTCAAAAAATATTAAGCAAATAAAAAAATGTTTCAGACAAAATGTTATTCAAATTAGTTGGTAGAAAAAGATGATATAATAAGAGATTGAGATTTCTATTTAAGAAAATTGAAGATCGGTGAATATCTCAAAAGTGACGCCATCTATAAATGTTACATACAAAATGTTGTCGCTGTCTTATGTTCCCCTTCAAGCCAAATAACTTTTGTCTGAAACATTTTTCGATTTAACGCAGTGTTTTTTAGATATTTGAGTAGGTCCTTTAAAATGGGACACCCCATATGTGTTGAGTCTCCTGGAAAATTTTTATTTAATGACAGTAGAAGCGAAAGATCGTATGTTAAAAATTGTTTTTGTTATATAGATATATTCCAGAGGATGATATTTGTGATCGATCTAAAAATTTATAAAATATTTTGGACACGCTTTCCTCTTATTGTGACAATCAATAATTTTCCATAAAAATTTTGTAACAATAATCATGAGAGATAATATGTTCAACTCAACATTTGTATAAATTTCACTAATTATTGACAATGAATGATTAGCATACAGCAAAAGAAAAGTGTTCAGAACATTTTACAAATTTGTAAAATCGATCATAAGTGTCGTTTTATGGAAATCTCTTATTTTAACGTACATGAAAAAAAAGATTA